TGGTCAGACTCGCATCGCAGACTTGTACCACTTTCGTCATTTGAAACTGTGATAAGGGTGTCAGCGCATTCTGAGTTCCTATGTGGACGTAATCGACAGCGACACGTTTTCTGGACGTGTTTGTCCCGAAAACGCAAGCACGAGATCGGTTCGACAGTGCAGCTGGTCGCCGCGCCCTTGTCGCTTGCAGCGTCGTAGGCCAACGTATCGTGCTCACCGGAGGACCTCTAGTGCATGAGCTGTTCTTGGCAATCTAGTTCTCTGAACAAGAACGAGCATACGATAAATACAAGAAGTTCGCTACCAAGCCATCGACTTATTATTAGGTTGTTGCATAAGTTCTTTCCCCGACTTTTTTGTAAATATCTCAATAGCGAACCAGCCTGAAGATTAGAGGTATGCACCATCACCATCCACTACTCGACGCCAACGCTCAGGCAGCTTGTCGATTCCATCCTCCCAGAAGGACGGGGGCTGGGACCCGAAGAAGGCCACAATGCCGCACAATCACCACTGTGACATGGTTTTGCACTGGTAATTGTGCGGCATTGTAGCCTGCAAATGCAGGGTGGGTGAGTGATAGCTAGTGTGGTGAAAGAGTATCATGTACACGTCACGCACACGTGATGACGAAATACCAACCTCCATGCAAACGAAATACGGAAGGATCAAAACAGGGGGGAAAAACTTATGCAACAACCTAATAGTAGAACGCCTGCGGATTCGGGATTTCGCACGTACGCTGATTAACTTCCAAAACTCTTAAAAAACAGACTCTTATCTAGGGTCTTCTTGCTTTTTTTCTGACAATGAGTCAACAAGCGCACTTTTCGCTTTTGCTTTCAAAACTAGTTGCCGTCATTTGCAATCGATAATGGTATTACTCGGGATAAAAGTCAATTAATACCAACAGAGGCGTAGTTTGGCGATAGGTGTAATCCCGTTCGCTGCGAACGCTAGAGCGTTTCAAGGGACTGGATTTGGCGGGTGCCAGCCTGTTCTCCATCAAATGTAGTCGATTGCCAGCTTCACGATGGCTGAGACAGGCTGGCGCCGCGTGAACTCAGCCACCGCACCCCCCCCTCCCCGAAACGTCACAGCACCCATAGCGAACAGAATTTTACATCCTTCCACGTTCCTCCCAAACGGGATTTAGTTCTGATTTCAGGTATTTTTTCAACGTACCATATGGAGTTGGGAAACAAGCGCTGGATAGAATGTCGGCTGATATGGCCTTGGAACTAAAGGCGAGTTGGTCAAATGTCGGCTTCTAATTTCATGGATCTCCCACGAAATTTCCACTATTTCTGCTATCCAAGATTGAGCGTTATCACAAAAGTTGAGTATGATTTTAGCCCAAAAATGTTTGCGTTGTGTCACTTTGGCCCGGTGCTGTACGAACGGAGTTGATTACCAACTTGCTGAACACAGCGCATGCAGCGGCATCAGACGAGGTATGACCTTTGTAACTTTGCTGGAACTCCTTTTCACTATCACTTTTACTGAAGGATTATATGAAAAGGGATATTGCAGCGCGCGCAGATGTTCCGAGAAGGTGAGACGACTGAATATTCAGGGAAGGCTGTTGTAGCTTTAGCGAGCGACGATAGAAGGATGGAGAAGACGGGTCGCGTATTAATGACGGCGGATATGGGAAATGAGTATGGATACAAGGATATTGATGGTAAATATAGCTACCTTTATTCATTGTGTGGCACTAGTCCGATAAAGGTTCGCAGATCCGCAGCTCTACAGTTCAAACATGTCACGACGTCGCGTGACGTCTCATGACATGCCATTGATGAAGAAGTGGCGTCTCAAAGTTTACGTCGCGCTATTGTGAGGAGGGGGGGGGAGGTGAATACAGTATTCGCTGCTGATGCAAAGGCTGGATTTAAGCGCGGAGCCAGCCCGTTTCCCACCGATTGCTGTCGCTTGCGCGTTTCAGCGATTGTTGGAGAGCGGGTTAGTCGCTCTAAACCTTACCCCTGACACGCCCCAACATCCGCGGCGAACAAGTGTAATCATATCCGTTGCGTGGATCGCTCGCACACTCTCCTAGCTTGTACTCATCTCGCTAGATGGACTAGGTCATGCCAGCCTGCGTGTCCTTCGCAGTAGCCTTCCACGGGTTACAGCATCTGTCAAATGGATGTTCCGATGTTCCGTCGCTGGGAGAGTTCAAAGGCATTTTCTCGTTGCATCTTTTCGCCTAGCATTTGAAGGAAGGAGAATATGGGAGAGGAGAAAAAAAAAGAAACAAGAAAAGAATGAAGGAAGAAAGAGACTTCGCAGCTGAGAGATATCCTGAGACGCTTCGACGGCTCCAACTATGTGCGATTGCGTATTGCGACAGCTTACTGCAAACTTACACCCATTTTTACTCGGTTGCGGCACGACGACTCGTTTTGATTATTCAGTGGCACTGTCTATTTTCCATGTTACATTCCATCGAGTGATAAGATCACGCGCAAGGTTAGGGTAATATCTGGTCGTACCCAATCGCACGCAACTGTGGGAAGTGATGGCGGGTGGGACGTAGGCTGAAATGACCTAGTCCATCTGGCGCTTCGAGTCAACTAGCAAGGATATGCTGTTCGTGCGCTATATCGCTCCGCGAAGGTAGTGACGTACCCAGCCATTTCCTCGATTTCTTGTCACGTTGTTCGGCACTTAGAGCTCGGGTGAGGACATTTTCTACAGACCTGGGGAGGGGCAGGAGGTATGGATGTGCTAAAATGTAACATATTGGGCTACGGATCTATAGTCATAATTATGGGAGTCGGATGGGGCGTGTCAGCGGCGCGTGGGTTTTGGCGCGGCTCCTTTTCTCACCGCCTATTGATCGCCACAAGCGTCTGCGATCGATGGAAAACGGGCTAGCACCGCTTCGAAAACAGCGCGCCGCTGACACGCCCCGACTGATCCCAGTGTTAACGACCGCACTGGATTATTTTTGTACTCCTTTGTTTCACTCTGGTAAAACAACTGTACGATATTAGCATATTTGGTTGATTGCACTTCAGATCGTTATCCACCAAATTTCCGCAGTGTGTCCTTCCTATTACATTATGGCGGGTTCAAGCAGACTGCTGAGTGGATACCATCATGGGTAAGACTACCTGGCTGGCTCTTATGGGGAGCTCACAACCGATTGTGAAGAAAGCCCTTGTTACCACTTCACCGGATAACATTCAAAGATATCATTTATCTGTTTTCTGACTGATAAATGGAGGTTTCTACTTGCACATTGATCAAACTTCTGTAATCGCTGTGCTTTTGTCATTGCGGATTTTTTTTCACTTTTTTCAATAGACGAAGCCCCATTTAATTGCTCTCATGGTTAGAAAATTTTACTTGTGCTACGCAGAATTATTTTGTATTTTCACGTTTGCAAGTCTTTTGTGTGAAATTTGTAGATATTTCGTCGTCTGAATCAAAGTTCCTACGTATGTCAGGCGAAACCGCACAGACATGTGTCCTTGGAAGTGTTGAGCTTTATGGGTATATGACAAGAGAATCGTAGCTGGCGCTGGCAGGCGTGGCGTGCGACGTCGCGCCACGAGAGACGAGTTCTCCAGCTTAGCCTTTCGAGTTTAAAATGACGGCAAAGGGTGCTGTTGATGCTTCATATCGTCACTCATGACTACAACAGAAGGTCTAGGAAATTGCCAAAAACACGTGAAATATGATCGGAAATATGGAAGGCATTTGAAAAATTGGCAACGCATCCCACGTTTCGATGCTCCCGAGGAACTGACGCACGGTTCGAATCTCCCGCGCCCATCGCCGTGTCCAAATTGAAAATTTTCCGCGCTCATTGCCAGACGGTACGCAGCACGCGACTACGCGGCAAATTAGATGCTCTTGTCCGTCTCCTCTGTGCGGAATTATTCAAGCCTTTCAGTTGACCGCTTTTTATTTTGGGGGCTCACCAACCTGAGCACTTATTTAGTTGAGTGGGGCAGCGAGGTGTCCCTTCCCTCTTTCTTCCCGCTCCTCCTATCCCTTTCCTCGCCAAGGCTAGGGTATGTGACAAGAGAATCGTAATTTGCCGCATTGGTGGGCGTCGCGTGCGACGTCGCGCTCGCAAATGACGATGGTTCCAGGTAGAGATGGCGACAACAGGCAATTCAGAACCGAAAATAGTCATGAATGTCTACGATGACGGGGTCTACATGAAGTCCGGTGCTCCAATCGACAGGTTAACACGAGTTAAGAAACGTCGCGCCCATCGCCGCGCGCGGCGGAGCGGCAAATTACGATTTTCTTGCCCGTCTCCCCCAAGGCTAGGCTTGAGACAGCGCGGACGACGAGAGACGCGCGCGCGGCGTAGTCTCAAAGAATTTGCTACAAATAATTCTGTCGCTGAGAGGTGGAGCTGCACTATTCGCCATGAATTTATGAAGACTTATATGCGATATAGTGCGAATCAAAATTTTATTTGAAACCCTTTTTTGAGTTATTTGGCGAATTTATATCACAACATACAATCAGCAGGCTCCATTAAACACCAACTATTGACATAAAAAAAGTCCTTCAACAGGACAGGGAAATGCAAC